ATATAAGCTTACACATTAGAAGGTTTTAATCCACTGACAATACTAGATGCATATGATTTCACAAAGACCTTAGGTCGAGCGCCACCTACTGGCTGCGAAATAGCCGGTACTTGACAATCAGCTGCAGGGCTATCAGCTGCCGGGCGGGCTGTCATCTGTCTTTCCTTTTCCTTACGTCTATGAGCTGCGCGCGTAATTCGTTGTTCCTTCCCATTAGCTTTTGGGCTTTCCTCTAAGTCCTGAACAGAAGCAGAAGGAAAATCCACAATCATCTGCTCAGCCACATCAATCCTCTGGGGTGTAGGTGGGCGTTCTGATTGTAAAACAGACGCCATAAAATCCTTAGCTTTGTTGATCGAGTTGAGTCTGTAGCGTTTGCCAGCTAATGTTACAATTATGCGCACCGGTATGTCCCATCTGAAATTTATTTGCCTGTTCTTCAACTCCTGTGCCAGAAAAGCATAGTCTCTGCGCGCTCTAAGTATTTTCGCTGGGATTTCTTTTAAAAGAATAATATCTTGATTTAAGATCTTGAATCTCTGTTGGTAAAAGAGCTGCATTATTTCATTACGTCTCGACTTTCTTGTAAAGTAGATCACTATATCTCTAGGTAAATTTTTTTGTCTTGCAAACCAGGAGTTCACCCTGAAAACGCGCTCTATTTCCAAATAAATTTCCTGACCACAAGACAAGGCGTCCCCAAGTGCATCTGCAATTACTTGTCTTAAATTCTCCTTTGGATCCTCAGCCAATCCACGAATCCGAATTGCAAACTCCATATCACGGAATTGAGCAATCAGCACATCACTCTTGACATTTTCCAGACTCTCCTCTACAAGCTCAAGTCTATGGTCACTTACTTCTGCTCTTTGCTCATTCTCCTCCACCCTTTCTGCTACTGCATCCACGTAATCAGCCAAACCTTTAAAAGCAGTTGCCACATTTGAACAAAAATCCTCCTGCTTCTGTGCTAGGTCTTGTTGTTGTTGTGATAAATCCAATTGTTGCTGCGATAATTGATCAAATCTATTTTGCATTTTAACATCCATCTCTTGAAACATCTCAGTCATTTGTTTAATAGTTGCGGACATCAAATCCTGCAGCTCTCTACCGGAGGGCGGTGAGGACGAAGAAGATGGAGGGTGTG